GAGGACAGAGCCGGTGACCGTGGAAGTCTGGGCTGGGACGGACCGTCCACGGATGGACAGACCTGGGAGGGGGTGAGGGGTGAGTGGGGGGGACATCGACCATGATGTCACCAGGTCTGGATCTGACATGTACGGCACTGGATAAAAAAAGTACAAAAAGCATTTTCTCCATTACAGCAACAAATGTTTCAGATCATACAAATTTATCTCAGAAGCAATCAGATCAGATAAAGAAGGAGTTTTTTTTGTTTGTTTGTTCTGATGTCAGTATTTTAAACCTCTCCATGTATGAATGGACAAACGTAATCATTCAGAGTTTAACTTGTTCAGATGCAAAACACAGGTGATTTTTATTTTTTTGCCTTTGTGTTTTCATCTTTTTCCCAGGCTCTATCCTCTTGTTGAACTGTGACCTCTGGCCTGAGCTTCTCTGACCTCCTGCATGAGAACGGTTTTCACTGTTCTGTGTTTTCTAACTGTGGTTTTGATAGAAGTAGCCCAGCCGTCGCCTTCCTACACATTTCCACTTGATTCTCATCTCCGTCTGGGATTTCTTCCATTGAAGTGGATTCTCTCCGGTAGAATTTCAACCGGGCCAATCAGTGAACCGAAGGCTTGAACGATGATGATGATTTCTTTTGTGCTGTTCCATAATTGTAGTCTACCTGTAGTTTTAGTAAGGCAGCAGACGAAGTGAACCAAGCCGTTCAGTCCGTAGCTGTTATATTCATAAAACATAACATTGGGCAAATTAAAATTATGAAAATAAACTTGCTTAAGGGAAACACGGCAATAAAAAAAAAACTCATGCTTTTTGACAAAAGGTTTGGGATAATTTATTGTTGCAATAAGCAGACATTCTACAATACTATAATACTTTTATCCTAACGTTCTTTGCTGCTTTTTTTTTTTTTTTTTTTGAAGATTTTTCTTGGCACTATTGGCCTTCATTGGACAGAAATCTAACAGGAAGGAGGCAAAGAGACATGCGCCAGAGAAACTGAGGACAGGATTCAAACTCATGACGGCTGCATTGAGATCTTGAACCCGCTCTAACCACTGTGTTTTTAAAGCAAAGTTTTATTTTTCCTCTAAACATAGCAGTCTGACTTTCCTCGCTCATCTTTTCACCCGCGTTTGCGACCCGGAAACACTGACCGCAGTACAAGACAGTGTAAGGCACTGCTGTGAACTAAGTAGCCCTCCGCCAGAGAGAGGCTTTTTGGTCAAAATATGCGACACGATTAATCTGCGTTACGTCATATTAACGTTAAACTTTTCAGATTAATCGTATGCATTGACAGCCCCAGATTTCTGACTGGTCGTCGTTTGAGGAGAAGCTGAAGCCGAGGGGCGTTTCATCGGAACAGAAGGGGTTAAGCCACGGTGCCTGGAACTGTGAAATCTGAGAAGTGATGGGAGCAGGAGAGGGAAGGGAAGATTTCAGAGGACCAAAAGACAAAAAAGAAAAAAAGTGACGACCCGTAGTGTTAGCCTTTGGCCCCATCCTCTCTGCTGGTTCTTTGCCCGTCTTCTGTTCATACGTAGAGGCGTTCTTCTTCTTCTCTCTTGTATCTCCGCTGCATTAGACATTAGAGTTACCGATCTCCTCTTTTAATCCTCCTTCAAGTCACTGGATTTTCCTCCTTCAACATCTGTTCACTCTGGTTTTTCTGTTCCTTTTTAACGTTTTTTTTGTTTGTTTTTTTACGTGGGGGACACTTTTTAAGGTTACACCACCCCAGATGAGTTTGTTTCCCACCCCGGTGTCAAAGCTCAGCAGTAAGCGTTTCCCTTTTCCTGTGCCGAGCTGAATCAGCTTTCAAAAATGTTCGAGCACTGACTCACACTTCCTCCTGAATATGACAGCGCTTCCTGCCCACCAACTGATTTAGCCTCTCTCCTCCCCTCCCTTCCTTCACCCAGCCTACTTCCTCAGCAGCAGAGAGGAATAAGTGACTGCAGGTCGTCGCCCGGGCCGGGCCGGGTCTGGTCGGGCCGGGTCGGCGCGCGCGCTTGCCGAGCGGTCGAAGCGGGAGAACTGGCCCGGCTCAGTCATCAGGCGTCTGAGTCATTTGAATTTAATTTGTCCCGTCTATATTTAGACGCTTCGGCTCGGCCTTATGATCATTTACAGAAGCGGAACAGATGGGTCTCTGTGCGCGTCAACCAGGCTCACAACAGGTCCATTAACGTCTGCCGGCCAGGTGAACCGCAGGTCACCTACTGCTAAAACAATTAGCCACCGAAGTAAGGAGAAATATTAGCAGCCGGCTGATCGGATTACGAAGCAGTTCGGCGTTTCCTGTTGGATCCAGTTCTTAGTCGCTTGGTTAAGTCGTGACAAGGCACTGGTGGTATCTCTTAAAGCGGACGCTGTTTGAGTTTCACTGACTAATGTTTTCAGGGTGTCTGGGAAGAAAGAACAGAAGTGGAAGAAATGTAGGAATTCTGACTACCTAGAAGCTGCAGAACAGATAAATGCATTTCAACCGAAGGAACTGGGTAAAGGTGACGCCACAGAATAAAATATTCCACACATGCAGCAACACCTTGCTGAAGTATTCATGCTTTATTAAGTCGTCATATTAGAAGCACTAATTTCAATCTACTGAATGCATGTTTTTTTTTTTTTTAAGTTTAAAGAGTAAATGGACTGGCACTAACGTTACATCCACACAGTCACACTAACAAGCCTCCACACACCAATGTACAGAGAAGCAGCTTGAGGTTACGGTAAGCGCCTTGCCAAGAGGAACATCAACACATGGCATGGAGGAAGAATCAAACCCACAACTTCCCCACTGCAAGACATCCTCTAGTGATGTTAGGAAATAGGATGGAAGAAATAATAATGTGCAATAAAGGATATTCTGTTTAAAAGGAGACGTGCGACTGAGTAGGATCATCTTAAAGTTGTTCATAAAAACATGGCAGAGTATCTGAAAGAAATAAAAACACTGCGTCAATACCAGCAGGGACGTAAAGACTTATGGAGCTCGTCTGGAGCAGTGATGGTTATAGACCCTTTGCAACTATGTCAGTGAATCATGTTGAGACGCTAAGATGGATGTCGGAAGTGAGGGACGGGAGAACCGTGATTGTTTTGTCACGTTGTTTTTGTCAGTGTAGTCATGGCTGCTTCTTGTTCCAGCTGAGCTAATCTGTCGGGGGCTTATAGCTAGTTTAGTAACCAACCAACACTTTCACCCTCCTGACATTTGGTTTGATCAGATCGCTGACTTTGACTGAGTTCACTCCATTATGTCATAGAAGATTAGATGCTAACCAGTTTTTTTGTACGTGGTAGGCTACATGATGGTAGGACATTTTCTCCATGGTTACTAATGATTAGACACATACTTAGTATATGAACTTCATATACTAATGAAGTAAAAAGTAAAAGACACTTTTTACTTATCTTGAATAAAGTGTTTGCTGAAAACTGCTGGTCGTCATGGTGAACGGCTGATTCCCATTGCTGTCTTTTTTTCCCTCATCTAAAGGTTTAAGATAAAATGTCAAGTTTAGTTTGCATCCTTTGTGCAGCATCCTATGACAACTTCACAGTGAAATCACCTAAATAAAAGTAAGTTTTGTCAACCAACTGAAGGAGCTTTTGAGTTTAGCAACAGTTTGATGCAAGGGGTGAGAGACATTGTCCATCAGCGAGGTTATTGTAGCCAGAGATGTCCTCTCTCCAACCACTTGAGCTGATCTAACAGTAATCTTTACTGGAGTGTAAAGGTTTCCACAGTCATGTCATGGTTGCGGACCGTTTGTGTTCATACACACCAGTCATACTCTGGCGCAGACCACCTGGGGGAAACCCATCATGCCCATCAACCTCCTCTGTTTTGCTTTTACCAAGACAGACAAACTCAGAACAACAAAGTCGCAATTTCCATCCAGGAGTTTTTAGCTACTTGACAGTCTTATGTTACAGTAGTTCTTTTATAAAGAACCGTAGATGTACACGATCCCTCAGATAAGCGACAAATACCGGACAGTCTCTAATTGTAGAGATATAGCAACATTTCTTGCCAAGCGTAATTTTCCATAAAACACAGATGCAAAACCTACTTTGTCTTTGGTTCTGGTTCTGCTCTGCATCCCCAGAATCAGAACCAAACATGGAGAAGCAGCATTCAGCTTCTATTCATTCAGCTTCTATGCACCAAAAATCTGGAACAAACTTCCAGAGAAGTGCAAAACAGCCAAAATGCCGAGTTCCTTTAAATCAAGTTAAAACCCCCAGCTGTTTCAAGTTGTCTTGGATTAGCAGTAAACATTGTTGCAACACTGATCAACATATTTGATGTGTATTGATGATTCTGATGATGGCATTCGACAAAATGTAATATTTATCGCTGGTCTCACAATTGATGACTTTGGTGTTTGTATGACGGGGAAGCACTTTGAACTGCCTCGTTGCCAAAATGTGAAACACAAATAAACTTGAAAATGAAAAATGAAGACAATGAAATGGGAAAAAGTACGCCAAAATTTTCACAGAAACGACATTGCAAAGATGTACGAACAGGAAGGAGCCAGGCCTGACCGGCCCCTGTGGTCAGTCCCATCTGGAAGGAGTTTGCCTTTATCAGACTGCTCAAGTGTGAAGGGGAGACCATTTCTCTGACACAGTGGAAAGTTTACCTTGTGACCAAGGTGTGCTGATTATGAAAACATCCCACAGCCGGCAGCGACCCGCTCACACACGCATGCATACGTTCACCTGACTCATCTGTGACGTCACGTGCGACAGGTGCGGCCTTGGTTACGTCGGGACCCGAGGCAGTGGTGATGGTGTGTGTGTGTGTGTGTGTGTGTGTGTTCATTTTTTATATATTTGCTGTGTTTACACAAAACAGTGCGATCGTTGGTGTCACACGTCAGGTGGGTGAAGGGAGGTGGAGGGGGGCACTGGGAGATGGTGAACATGGAGATAAGCCGGTGATGTCACGGCAGTCATAACCGGGGAAAATGTTGTGCAATACCTGCGTCACCGCGCACCGGGACAACGGCTGGTAAGAAGCCGGGAGCCGGCCGGCCGGTCAGCTGCTGAACAACATCTGTCATGTGAGCACTGCATAAAAAAGCACACAGAATCGTACCAAGTAATTTTGGTTTAGTTTCCAGTGCAAGGATCTTAGTACACTTGAAATAAGACCAAACTAACTTAAAAGTAACTTTTCAGCAGGATATAGGAGTCAATCATTTTTAAATATTGATGAAAAAGTATTTGCTCCATTGCTCCATAATTTACAAGCTGTTTTCCCATGTTATAAGTGAAATAGTCTGCCAATGGAACAAGTACGTTTTCATCCATACTGAAGAAATATTGACTTAAAATAAACTTGTATGTCTAGCTCAAAAGTTATTTGTAAGTTAGTTTTGATTTATTTCAAGTTTTCCAATATATTTGCACTAGAAACTAGACCAAAAATACCTGTTAAGACTTTGTGTTTTTGCAGTGCGTAGAAGCCGATAGGAGGGGAAACATGGGAGCAGCTCTGGTTAATCAGGAACCAGTGACTGATCCAACATTAGTGGCTGGAAAGCACCAAACTCTCCCACAAGACCGGATAGTCGGATGAGTCCTGGAGGCACTTCAGATGACCAAATGTTATGGTATGTTATTAAAAGGAAGTCTCACACACACACACACATACATTTGTTCTCTAAACACAGCAATCAGTTCTGACCCATGCAAAACGACCTGCTTTCTGCTACATTAGTGAATCATCTCCAAGGCAGAGTCAGGTACTTTAACCACAACCTCAGAGTCTTAAAAAAAAAAAAAAGTGATGGGATTATGTTATGTCAACAGAGTCCTCAAAAGGCGCTCGCATCCGTTGGTGAGCGGAGTTTCCCTCGCTGCCCGGTCTGCAGAGCACCTGTCAGGAAGAGAGCAGCTCTGTCGCCTAAACAAACACAGCACCTGTCCATTTCCTCCTGCCCATTATCAAAATATTTGGATTTTATTACAGGCAAGTCATCGTTGCTCATCGTCAACAGCCGCGTCCAGACCGCCAATCCAACCGAAAGAGAAGAGTCGCTCCACGCTGGAAACTGGAGGCATCAAAGTGTGACAGGAATGCCTGGAAGGCGCCGCCGTGGGAGGACCTTACCGCTGCTTCAAATTAGCTGCTCAACTGACCTTTCTTGTTGATGATTTGTCAGAACAGTCACCGTGACTCAGGCGGAACACAGAAGAAGAATGCAGGGATTTAGGAAACACACTAGATTGGTTGTTTTTCTTCTTGTTTGTTTGTTATTCTGAGCGTGCTTTTACTGACATTTTTCCTGTGAGACAGTAAGGAGCCGAGGAAGAGAGCCTGCAGACAGCATTAGAGGATACCGCCCCCATGTGGCTCACTCCAACCTGCTGAGACCTTCGGCACGTGTGAAGGACGGCCGTCACTCAGCTTCACTTCAATCTAGACAGGTTCAAGTTTCATTTCTCGTGTCTGACCAATCACACACACTTGTTTCTACTTTGAAATAAAAGGATATTTACAAGCGAAAAGGACTCAGTAAAAGTTCAACAAAACATCATTTTGAGACAATCTGCAAAAAATAAAAAATAAAAAACTACATTTATCAACTTTCCTCCCATCATTTAGTGTTTCAGTCCAATAGGAAGAGAGTCTATTTCAATCCATTAAAAATAGTCATATTTAGATAAAACAGTAAAAATGTATTTAAAATAAAACTATCTGGTTGCATTTAATCTAACTTATTAACAGTTTCCTGGCCAGATCAAGCACGGGGTAAGAGTGGGGAGGAAAGGCTCAGGAATGGCAGCTGAGACAGAGACGGAAATAATTTAAGATTTTTGTTGTGAAGACACACAGGTCTGATGGAAAGGTAGGTGGGGATGTTCTTGTTCGTTTATTGTGTTGTCTTTATATATTTTTATGGCCAAATTAGCAAAAGATGACAAAACTGTTGGCAGGAACGACCTCCCGTCTGCGGTCTCGTGGTGAGGATGGTCAGTTGGCTCTGGGTTTTGCCAACTGCTTCATTCACCGGGTGTGACACAGCGCCACCAGAGGTGAGGCTCAGCACTGCACTGTCTCACTCCGCACTTCTTCCAGGTATT